ATAATACTACAATACGTAGAAAAAATGTTATTGTTCAAATGAAGGACTTGACAAAAATGTAAACAGACTTAAGTGTAGGTTAGATCCTATAACTTACTTACTTACTTACTTACTTACTTACGCCTGTTACCCCTTGTGGAGGAGCATAGGCCGCTCACCAGCATTCTCCATCCAACTCTGTCCTGAGCCTTCCTTTCCAGTTCTTTCCAGTTACTATTCAGCCTTTTCATATCGGCTTCTATTTCCCGGCGTAGTGTGTTCTTTGGCCTTCCTCTTTTCCGCTTCCCTTCCGGATTCCAAGTTAGGGATTGAGTCGTGATGCACATTGGTGATTTCCTTAATGTATGTCCGATCCACTTCCAACGTCTTTTCCTTATTTCCTCTTCAGCTGGAAGCTGGTTTGTCCTCTCCCATAAAACGCTGTTGCTGATAGTATCCGGCCAGTGGATGTTGAGTGTTTTGCGTAGACATCTGTTTATAAATACTTGTACCTTCCTGATGATGGCCGTAGTAGTTCTCCACGTTTCAGCTCCATACAGTAGGACTGTCTTGACGTTCGTATTGAAGATTCTGACCTTGAAATTGGTTGAGAGTTGTTTTGAGTTCTATATGTTCTTCAATTGTAGAAATGTTGCCCTTGCTTTGCCAATCCTCGCCTTTACATCTGCATCCGATCCTCCTTGTTTATCAACGATGCTCCCCAGGTACTTGAATGTTTCCACCTCTTCCAGAGTTTCGCCGTCAAGTGTGATTGGGTTGGTGTTCTCCGTGTTGCATTTGAGAATCTTGCTTTTTCCTTTGTGAATGTGGAGGCCTATCGATGCGGAGGCTGCTGCTACATTTGCTGTCTTCATCTGCATTTGGTCGTGTGTATGAGAGAGGAGGGCTAGGTCATCTGCGAAGTCCAAATCATCTAATTGATTCTGAGAAGTCCATTGTATTCCGTATTTCCCTTCAGATGTCGAATTCTTCATAATCCAGTCAATCACTAGAAGGAAGAGGAATGGGGAGAGTAGACAGCCTTGTCTGACTCCGGTCCCTACTGGAAATACACCTGTCAGCTGTCCTCCATGCACCACTTTGCACTGTAATCCATCGTATGAGTTTTGGATAATGTTGACGATCTTCTGAGGAACTCCATAGTGTCGAAGAACTTTCCACAATGTTCTCCTGTCCACGCTGTCAAACGCCTTCTCATAGTCAATAAAGTTGACGTATAGTGATGAGTTCCACCCAACTGATTGTTCAACGATGATCCGTAGTGTCGCAATCTGGTCTGTGCACGACCGATCCTTACGGAATCCAGCCTGATGATCCCTTAGTTCGGCGTCTACTGCGTCTTTCATCCGATTCAGCAGCAGTCTGTTGAAAATTTTTCCTGGTACTGATAACAAACTGATGCCTCTGTAGTTCTCATATAGGCTCAGATCTCCTTTCTTTGGTATCTTGATGAGATATCCTTCTTTCCAGTCCGTTGGCACTTGTTCCTCTTCCCAAATCTTTTTGAATAGAAGGTGAAGCATGTTTGCAGTTATTTCAATGTCTGACTTCAGTGCTTCTGCTGGTATATTGTCAGGTCCTGCCGCCTTCCCACTTTTGATTTGTCTGATGGCCATCTTGACTTCTTCGATCGTTGGTGGAGTGACATCTATTGGAAGGTCTGTGTGGGCTACTTCGATGTTCGGTGGATTCGATGGGGCTGGTCTATTCAGCAGTTCCTCGAAGTATTCTGCCCATCTTTTCCTCTGTTCCTGAATCTCAGTGATTGTCTTTCCTTCTTTGTCTTTGACTGGTCTCTCTGGTTTGCTATATCTCCCTGCCAATTTCTTCGTTGTATCATATAGTTGTTTCATATTCCCTTCTCTTGCAGCTTTTTCCGCCGCCGTTGCTAGTTCTCCCATGTATTTCTGCTTGTCGGCTTTAATGCTTTTCTTCACTTCCCTGTTTGCTTCTGCGTAGTCTGCTTGTGCTTTGACTTTCTCTGCTCGTGTTCGGCTGTTGTTAATTGCTAGTTTCTTGTTCTTTCTTTCTTGAAGTTTGTCCAGGGTTCCCATAGAGATCCATTCCTTGTGATGGTGCTTCTTAGGACCAAGAACCTCCTGACACGTTGAAGTTAGTGCTTCTTTTATCCCTTTCCAGTTGTCCTCAAAAGTAGTTTCTTGTTCTTTCAGTAGATCCTGTAGAGCTTGGAACCTGTTGTTGAGAGTTATCTTGAATTCATGGAGTTTGTCAGCATCTCGAAGGAAGGCTGTATTAAACCTTTGTAGTGCTGTTTGTCCAGTTGTCCAGTCTTTCTTTAGCTTCAGTCTCATCTTGGCCACAACCAGGTGGTGATCTGAAGCTATGTCAGCTCCTCTCCGGGTTCTCACATCTTCCATTGATCTTCGGAATTTTTTGTTGATACAGATGTGATCAATCTGGTTCTCTGTGGTGTGGTCCGGTGAGATCCATGTAGCTGTGTGTATGCGTTTGTGTGGGAATATTGTGCCGCCTATAACCAATTTGTTGAAGGCACATATGTTTGCAAGTCTCTCCCCATTTTCATTTCTCTCTCCTAGTCCATGTCGTCCAATTACATCTTCATATCCTGTGTTGTCCACTCCAACTTTAGCATTTAGATCTCCCATAAGGATGGTGAGGTCCTTTCGTGAGCACTTTGCTATAATTGATTGCAGCCTTTCATAGAACTGATCTTTATCATCGTCGTTGCTATCATTGGTGGGTGCATAACACTGGATAACATTCATTGTGATCCCTTGCTTCTTTGTTCTGAATGATGCTTTGATTATCCTGGGTCCATGATTCCTGGGTCCCACAAGTGCATTTCGTGCTTCTTTGGACAGCATTAGAGCAACTCCCTGAGTGTGTGGCGCATTTTCCCCTTCGTGACCGGAGTACAGCAGCATCTCTCCTGTACCTAGCCTTTGTTGTCCAGTTTGTGTCCAATGGGTTTTGCTGATTCCAAGTACTGCCAAGTTGTATCTCCTCATTTCCATTGCTATTTGGCTGGTCTTTCCTGTTTCCCACATTGTCCGGACGTTCCATGTACCTATAAAGAGTGTTGTTAGAAGGTGCATCGGTCTCGTGACTTCCGAAGAATTTCGGCTTTCATCATGAGACGTCATTATTCCTTCAACTCCCAGGGCAGAGTTTAAATGGTTTGGATTATTTTTTCTGGTTAGCGTTTTTTTAGCGAGTTAGCTTTTCTACGGGATGGGGTCGCTAACCCCATACCCAACCCTCCTCCTTTACCCGGGCTTGGGACCGGCAGTAACTCTAGAAGAGCTACAGGCGGAGTTTAGATCCTATAAACCTAGATATAATTATGCTCTCTGCATTGACAATCGTTACGCGATAATTAAGAAATGACGATTGCAGAGGCTGAAAATGACGTTAAGCAAATCAATTTTTCCCTCAAATCGAAAAGATTCGACTTAATAATTAGTTCAGAAGGGGTTTTGTGGAGATTTCAGTATTTTCATAGTTGAAATCATGTGTCAATTGAAGCTAGACCACCAGAGAAAACCTGGATGCACCGGACAGCCGTTTCGTCCTATTATGAGACTCTTTAGCAGTGAGCATCTACGATCCCGCCTTGCCAGATTCGAACGGAGGACCTACCAGTCTAGCGCCAGAGCACTTGAACGATAGACCACTGAGCCGGCGAGCATCCAACAGTGGTAACGTTAATTAGTAATATGAAACTATGACCTCTTGAGTTCATCAACACCATATTCGAAGTGAAAACACTACATCATTCTTTAGATCACTGATTCTGTACATTATAACTACCGCTACTCAGTTTGAGAATGTTAAGTTTCTTTTCATTGTTCATAAACTTGGAGTATTCCTTGATAATCTTAAAGATAATGACTAATTGTTCTCATTTATCAAACTGGTAACGACTTTGCAAATATAAGAGAATGTTTTCATTTTTCAATTACTAAGAACGTGACATGATAATACTTTACAGTCAAGACATATTTACATCAATTGATTAGCTTTCCCTGAAAGTGACAATGCACTTACTAATTCATATGTTTATGCTAAGAATTTAGTAACTCTCCATACAATGAACATATAATTTGTATAGTTGAAAGCATGGAAAATCAAGAAGCACTGGACGGCCGTTTCGTTCTATTATGGCACTTCTCAGCAGTGCGCATCCACGATCTTGCCTCATGAGACTAGTAGATCCTGGGTTCGAATCTAAATCCAGGTTTACCTTGGTGGTCTAGCTTCAATTGACTTATGCTTTCAACTATGAAAATACTGAAATCTTTACAAAATCCCTACTGACAATATAATTTTTTGTATCCTTCTGTAACTTAATTAATAATCCAATACAGTTTTTATAAATAACCGATAATTTCATCATTTCAATTATGTAACAGAATTCATCTGCGAGATTGAATGTCTTGGGTTAGAATTTCGTGTCCAGGATCGTAGATGCATACTGCTGAAGAGTCCTATACTAAGTCTAGAAGCAGCTATCCAATGCTTTAAGGTTTTAAACAATGTTCCAACATCTATTGATTCATGATCCTAATCAAAAACTTAACAATCTCTATAACCTCATTGTAAGGACGGCTCGTCAGTAGACTCTAGATAGCCTTAAGAAGCCCAGGAATAGCCACAGACATTCCATCCAATCACTGTTAGGGGAATGTTCTAGAATGTCGATGTGTAGCTTTCCCATTGGATGGATTAGCATGACCCCTATGTGCCTATTGGTTGACCGAAATGATGATTTACATTCAGACAAAAAACTTCTGTACTATATTTTGATACTGATTTGGGGAATAAATTTCCTACTTACTAGTCTTTGTTTTCTCTTATTGCGACGTTGCGGGTTCTATCATTCAAGTAGTCTAGCAGTTCGCGGCATATTAAGAATCAATGCTCTAGATACAACACTCATACTTATACGTAACAGATGTATATATAAATGAAAGCTTTAATAAACCCTTTTTAAACAAAATATATTTTATATAGATTTAATTTAAAATACACATAAAACTTTAAATGATAAACACAACAATGAATAGTTATGTAATGAAGTAACAAATGGTTAACAAATCAATATTACATTAGATCTGTACATTACATCTTCTGTATCACTTGGTCTCTCCTTGATCCTGGACGATTACCCTAAAATACAAAGATTATGAACAGAAAAGAGTTTGAATCTTTTGCACAATTATACATGTATATATACATAATATCATTATAATTAATGAAAGCACTTGTTGGGCTTAGAACATATAAATCAACAATAATAACCTGCTTTCTTACACCTCTTCGATGTCTCTCAGTAAACTCTTAAATAATACACTATAAAGACTTTAGTTAATAGATAGTTAAACTATTAGTTCATTTATCTTAGATATATTCTTTAAGGTATAAGTATTTATAAATAGTTGTTTACGTAAAATACTCAACTATCACTAACCAGATACCAGAAATAACCAATGTGTATTAAAAGGCAATCCCTAACTTTAAACCCGGAAGGGAAGAGGAAAAAAGAGAAAAGCCAAAGAACACATTACTCCGGGAAATAGAAGCAGATATGAAAAGGATGAATAATATCTGTAAAGAAGTTGAAAGGATTATTGAAAATAGGATTGGATGAAGAATGCTAGTGTGTGGCCTGTGTTTCTTGACAAGGGATAACAGGTGTAAGTAAGTAAGTAAGTAATATTCTTTAAAACATCAAGGTAGTGAAGAACTTGGTAAAAACAGTTATAACATTTTCAATAATATATTATAGTAACAATTTGGTAAAGACCGATAAGACAAGATATGGTCATAAACTTTCTAGTGAATGTCAAAGTTTCCGAACTTTATAACTATTCTAAATAATAAGATAAAAACAATCGGCGAGACTAAACTTTATGGACGACCTTTGAACGAATCTTAATAACCTTGAGAAATATTAACCAATCAGAAGACAGTTAGTATACAGTAAAAATATATTATGCGAAACTAAAAAATTTAAGCGGATACCGTTCTTTTACATGGCTGAAAAACTTCTCAAGTTCAGATATAGGTTCTGAAGTTCTAAAATCACAGTACATACGGTACAGGAACTCATCCATATGACTCCATAGTAGTCGGCCTCTGGAGCCATGATAAAGTCTCAAAAATTCTTATTGTTGTTACCTTTCGGTTCCTAACACGTTGGAAATGTTAGGGTTAGGGTCCGCTGTAAACCGATCGTACGTATGCATCAGGTAGTGCAGTGATATTGGAAACCCACGAAAGCTTCTTATTGACACGTCCATAAAGTTTAGTCCCGGCAAACAATCTTGTAGTCCATGTCAAAACTGGTCAGAGACAGAATGTTGAACTAATTTTGTCGACTTAAGCATGTTTTTATTTAAAGCAAAAGAAACGTATCATCTATTTTGTATTGCGATTTAGATAATGAAACACCTTTGTCAAAGAATTTATATCTATTAGCTTATTTTTATGTTCACCTACTTACGGCTATTATCACTCCAGAAGGAGAATAGAACACCTACCAGCATTCTATATCCAACTCTATACCGAACAATACTCTCCACTTCTTCACAGTTGTCATCCACACATATCATTTATGCTTACAATAACCAACATAGTGTGTTCGTTGGCCTTCCACTTTTCCACTTCCCTTCATGATTCCAAGTTGTTGTTTACTTCATGATACAGTTCGATGATCTCCTCAATATATGTCATATCCACATTCAACATCCTTTCCTTATTTCCCCTTAATCTCGTAGCTGATTTACTCTCTCCCACAATAGGTTGTTGCTGATTTTATCTGATCAACACTCATTGAGTATATTGTGTAGACAATTATTTGGAAATACTTGCACCAATTTGATGATTGTTGTAGTAGTGTAGTGAACAAGAACACGGATGGGGACAATCGAATATATTTGAGCACAACGTTACAGAATATCTCACTAAAATCTGTTAACCATACAGTAAACAGTTTATTTGCAAACTGCCAATCAATTGTCTCAATCTTGACTCTACTTTCTGCAAATATCAGTCCATCGTCTCTAATTTCATTGTTCATGTATTTTCATACCTCTTGCGTTCCGTTTCCATTCTTTCGTTATCGATCTTCTACTCGAATACATTTCACGCCCAACTATCATTATATACTACTTATGTGGATACAAGTAACCAACACTACAATAGTTCTTCAGGCTTCAGCTTCATACAGTTGGACAGTATTGGTGTTCATATTGAATATTGTGACTTTAATATTGGTTTGGAGACTGTTGTTTTGAGTTGCATATGTTATAGGAATGTGGCTCTCGTTTTGCTAATTTTTTGCTTTTAGGTGTGCATTAGATCTTCCTTGTTCATTGATGATGCTGTCCATGTTGAAAACTTTGGTATTTGAATACGTATACTACATTAGTATGACCTAGATATACTTCAGTGTAAATACCTTTGCCCTCTATCCATATATATATATATATATATATATATATATATATATATATGCATACTCAGAAAAAAAATGTTTTTATTAACGAACCTAGTTTTCCATTTGCTTGACTTTCGCAAGTTAATGGCTTATCATCCATAGAGGTAGCTACCTATTAGGAAATAAATTTAAATCGAGTATATTGTTTCAGTCAAGGTAATTAAAACAAAATTTTCTTTTTAGTTTATGAAATTAGTCTTGAAATATGAATACGTTATTGACTAATTTTTTTTCATAGTTGAAATCGTGAGTCAATTGAAGGCAGAACATTATGGAAAACCTGGAAACACTGAACGGCCGTTTCGTCCTATTATGGGACTCCTCAGAAATGCGCATCCACGATCACGCACCCACGAGATTCGAACTCAGGATCTACCAGTCTCGAGCCGAAGCAGTTAACCGATAGACCACTGAGCTGACCGGCATCCAACAGTGTTAATGTCTAACTTTAACTGATCCACGAAGTTGAGCAACCATTCACCAATTGTTTTCAGTGAGTTCCAATCTCACAACAGACGTAGTTTTGAACTCCACTGGTCACTGCTTCTCACTAGAGCTCCTAGATATACTTCTCGAAGTCGATTGGTTAAGGGCTTTGGCTCGAGACTAGTAGGTCCTGGGTTCGAATCTCGTCAGTGCGGGTTCGTTGATGCTCATTGCTGAGGAGTCCCACAATAGGACGAAACGACCGTCCAATGTTTCCAGGTTTTCCATGATGGTCTAACTTCAATTGACTCATGATCTCAACTATATATAGTAAACTCTCCACAAAACTCCTTTCTGATAATCCTAAATCATTTATTGATTGTCCTTAAAATATTGTCAATTTTAAAATGAACGTAGATAGAGATTGGTATTTTATTAATTACAACTACAATTATCGAATTTTCAAGTGTAGTAAATGTTTCTAATAGTTGTTTTAGAGTTTTGGAGCTATTTACCTTTTAATAAAAATTTATACATGAAGACCAATGTCATGATTTTTACATTATTATTACCTATGTAAACTGTAATAACTTACAGTAAGTACTGGGCAATAGTCAAATATATTCAAACCTCCATAATATTTTCTATTGTCTGCACTAACATTAAATAAGTTATCTATAAACTGAAATTCAGGTTCCATTTCAACTTTATATTGATACACTTGACAATATCCTAATACATTTTCAGAATTTATACATTTTAATTCATCATTAGTATTACAGAACGGTTCGATGTCTTCTCGTCTACAAAAAAAGAACAAAGCTTTATTAACATCAAAATGAAAGACTTGTTAAAGAAAACCAAGAATAACTGGACGGCCGTTTCATCCTAGTATATGATGACTCAGCAGCGCGCATCCATGATCTCGCACACAGCACTCGAATCTAAGACTTTCAATCTCGCACGTGAACGCTGAACCTCCAAAACACTGAACCAGTATCCAACAGTGTTAATGTTTAAACTTTAACCAATCGACGATATTATGTGACCATTCACTATTGTCTTCAGTGAGTAACTCCCTCAAAACAGACTCATCATTTCATTTTATTATTACATTTTATTATGGATTATTAATTACAAAATATTTTCGATATTCTTTATCAGAAACCAATGAGATTCTTTCGTTGGTTTAAATGAAATGTCGAAAGTTGAAAAAAAAAATGGATCAAAGTATGAGAGCTAAAGTCAAGTTCTCGAAAATTCACAAACTCTGATCTTAGTCTTAGACTTCCTATTATAACGGTCCATTTTCCTTGTTTACACTCGAATAGGAAGTTAATTTACCTTAGAAGAATATCTACACTGGATTCCATCCAAGCGTTCACTCTACAACTCAGATTTTGGTAGGTTGTTTTCTAACTGATAGGGTTGCTGAGCCCTTGCCAAATACTCCTACTTTAATCAGGCTTGAGAGCGGAAGTAAATTTGGATGGCCTACATGTTAACAAGAAGATGGAGAAACCCTGTAAGAGGTGAAAATTTTCACGCACCTGGACACCATCATCGATGAAAAAGGGGGATCCAATACAGATATAAAGATAAAGAATAGCAAAACGAGAGCCTCATTCCTACAACATATGCAACTCAAAACAAGTCTCCAATTCAATATCAAAGTCACAATATTCAATACGAACGTCAAAACTGTCCAATTGTATGGAACTGAAACCTCGAGAACTACTAAAACAATTATCCAAATTAGTACATGTATTTCTAAACAATTGTCTACACAATATACTCAATGAGTGTTGATCAGATACCATAAGCAACAACCTATTGTGGAAGAAAACAAACCAGCTTACAAATGAAGAGGAAATAAGGAAAAGATGTTGGATGTGGATAAGACATATATTGAGGAAATCATCAAACTGCATCACGAAGTAATCATCAACTTGGAATCATGAATGGAAACGGAAAAGTGGAAGGTTAAAGAACACAATGTATCTGTAATCGGAAGCGGACATTATAAAGATGAATAGCTAGCGTAAATATGTGGAAAGTATTGTTCGGTATAGAGTTGGATATAGAATGCTGGTAAGTGACTTATACTCCTTCTTGAATGTTATTAAGCGTAAGTAAGTAACTAATCAAGTAAGTAAGTAAGATGCCTTTATTTTTCTGGTACGACAATCTACAAGTTCTAAATGCGTTAGTAGTCTCAATGACTCATGCTATTGTTATTGCTGTTTTCAACCTCTAGGAATTTTGTTTACTGTAAGATAATGGTTGAGAGAAGTCGATAGTGTATCCTGAATTATTCGTTGTGCTATTTGCCTCTCATCAACAAGGTGTATCAATAATCATGATGCTGCTTGATGGAGTTGATACTGTTTGACCAAGTTTTACAATTACAGACTTTGCTTCGAGCTTTTCAGCCACTGAATGACTCACTGTAAAACTCAGATGAACGTATTACAAGTGCTTATCAGAACTCAGTAGCTGAGTGAATAACACGGTGGTGTTTGAAGTGATAGTTACTAGGTTTAAGTCCCAGATTGAACATCTGAACAACTCTGAAATACAGGTATATCCAGCTGACGAGTGACAAATAAGACAAAACGCGAATCCTACATCCCAATGCTAGCCTCTATCCATAATTTCTTATAATACAGTATAGTAAATTGTATGAAACTGAAAATAAATTTTTTTTTCTATTCTTTTCAATTTACCTTCTTTGTCTATTCTTAATAAATTCATAACAGCTTTTCGTCACAAAATCACAACCTAAACCTTTTCCCCATTTAAATTCAGTGGCCACACTATAGTCGACATCATAAAAGCTTTAAAAAGAAAATAAAATATATCAGAAATTAATCAAATTTAAAAGGATAAAATGTTTTTAATTTCATCTATTTATTTATTACTTATTTTCAAATGTAAGTAGTAATTATCATTATCTGTAAATAATACAAGTAGTGAAAAGAAAGAATATTGGCGAGACTAAAGAACATGGACGACCTTTGAACGAATCTTAAATGACCTTGAGAAATATTAGCCAATCAGAAGACAGCATACAGTAAAAATATATTATATAAAACTCAAAAATTAAAGGGGATAGTGTTCTTTTACATGAATCAAAAACTTATCAAGGTTAGATATAGGTTCAGAAGTTCTAAAATCATAGTGCATCCGGCACAGGAACTCATCCCTGTGGCTCCATAGTAGCCGACCTCTGAAACCATGATAAAGTCCCGAAAATTCTTTCAGCCTCGACCACATAGTTTCAGTGTTGTCGGTATGTTGGTATGGTTCAGGGTTTAAGATTAGGGTTAAGGTTTAGGGTTACGGTTTAGGGTTAAAGATGAGACTATGAATTATGGACGACATTTGAGCGACGCTAGAGTGAATCTGAGAGTGTAAACGTAATAACTAAGACTAAATGAGGGTCATAAACCCGTGTGAAAAATTCAAATTATGATTTACAGTTCATGGTTAAGGTTAGGAATTATACTTACGGTTTTCATCACGAACTGACATCAACTATAATGCCACAACTCTGTCCAAATGTATAATTGAGTTTTGCGCCAAAATCTTATGATAACTTATCTTGTAGACGCTTAATTATCATGTTTTCTCTAAAATCTGTTGTAAACCGACCGTACGTAATCATCAGGTACCGAACTTAGCGCCGTGACCTTGAAAACCCACGAAAGCTTCTGATTGGCTCGTCCATGTTCTTTAGTCTCGCCAGAATATTTCACTTTTTAATCATAGATGAATAGTGGCTAGTTATGGAATCCATAATGTGTGTTTCGTCCTACTCAGGACTAATTAGCTGGATGCATCTACATTTCGTAATTGATGTTCATTCTAGGATTTGAATCCAATATTGTTCACTTCAAATGTTTCATGTTGCATTTTCATAGTTCTCTAATGATTCATTGTTTCATTGTGAATATCAGTTCATTTTCATTTTTAATCACACTATTCATCATGTCTCAAGACTTTATGAAGGTAATATAAAATCTTGAAATGAGATACACTCATTTCATCCTAGTAACTTTGTCACTCTTGTTTTCTTTAAAATTGTTTAACAAAATCTTACTGCTTTTCTTTACTATTTATTAGTCAATGATGACTTAGTAAATAGTATATTTGACATTTCACAGTGATATTCGTTAGATAATTTATAAAAATCATGAAACATTGAACAGCTGTTAAGTTCAAGTATGAAGCTCCATAGTAGTTGGAATATAAGATCTCATGAAAGATTGAAAATAGGGTCTTAATGATTCACAGTGATCGTATTACCTTCAGACCAATGTATTAACACCCAATTATCAACATTCATAGGTTCAGATAATTTGTAACATTAAAAGAATTTAATCTCTTACTGTTGGTTGGTATCTGCCAAAATTCTAACATAAGTAGATTCCTTTGGAAAATTTCCGTAGAGTATTAAATGAACACTTCTGAAAAGTTCCACACTAGACCGAAATAGTCATACACTTTTCCCTTTATTTAACTGGTTGTCCAAACATGGAAATATCGAGTCAATACTTACAGGATGTACTTATTCTATTAAGAAACTGGTTAATTGAAGTTCTAAACACCAATAAGAAGATTCAAACAACCAATACAATATTAATTGAAGTTATTATAATTCGATCGTGGATACGCACTGTTGAGAAGTCCCATAATAGGACGAAACGGTCGTACATTGCTTCTAGGTTTTCCATGGTGGTTTTAATTCAATTGACTCATGACATCAACTATGAAAATATTGAAATATCCATAAAAAACCTTTCTGATCTATTAATAAATACGTTAGTTAACTATGCACAACTCACTTTGTGTCTTTGAAATAAGCCAGCATTATTCTGGAAATAGTATATGTACTGAATTTCGTAGGTGTCATCAGATCAATCTGAAAAAAAAACAAATTGTTTGTTAGAACGGTAAGATTATGTATATATGGCATTTAGCATCTTAAAATCACACTGATAGTTAAAATGTAATCATTGTGAATGTTTCATTTTGCTGTCCTAGGCATTCTGACATATTCTTTTGCCCTCTGATTTGTAATGCTTCTTAGGGTCTCAGAGTTATCTGCTAAGAACCTGAAGTTAGTCATCGTTTGATAAACATCGATCTGTCATTGATCCAATGTTAAAATATTGTCTTAGTCAATTATGATTAACTTTATGAGCATGTCATCGCAGTGGATTCTATATCTAAAATTATTTGTTAATACTGGAATCACATAAAAAGAAATATATATGGTCAGTCTTTAAAAGAGTTTTAAAGAGTATTGTAGGTTTCAATGAGTTGACAACCACTATTTGACCACAGTTTCTTGAATAACATCATGCCTCCTCACATTAGTTTATTAAATATGCATGCCATATATCCTACTTTTGAGATGATGGAGAAGATTTGTAGATCAGATGGATGATTTGGATGCAGTTTTATTATCTGAGCTACAGTCTATTAGTTCTCGACAACTTATTTCTACTATGTATTATTATGACTAATCAACAGAAGATAAACCAAGATACACTGTCTATATTTTTCAGTGACATTATCGTTGTCCAATCATATTGAATTCAAATGAATCGGTAAGCTCAAACTGGAGCACAAGGCAAACTTCAGATTTCTGCAAAGATATGCAAACTATACGAAATGTACGACCTACACGAATGAGTTCAAAACAATCTACTGCAGTAGATATAGACAATAAATCCATCTAATCCGACACAAACAAGAAATGAAATGCAGCATAACAAACAACTAACAACAAATTTCATTGCTTCAATGACATTTTAACGATATATCATATTCAAGTAGGCAAAGATCTGGGTGTAACACATCCTGACACACTATCTTTACTTAAATTGTCGGCCACCAAACAGCCAAGGCTATTGAGACTTTCAGAATACCTTTAGCAGTTGACACCGTCGAATACTTTGTCCCCTATAGTCAGACTATGCACTTACAATGAGTTGTATTGAACCAATGTTTTTCGTTCCTCAACTAAAATAACTTAAAACTGTATTTCGTCAACATTTTTACCAAAGCTATGCCATCCACATGCTCTAAATCATTAAAAGATCTTTAAAGTCATAAGATGATTAGAGAAGTTGCTCATCTTATATTCACTTAACATCAGATTGTTTCTTCAGAAATGTTGGAAAAATGAGACAAATTACATTTTGTAACGTGTCAGGTAAACATTCTGCTGTAATGATGTTTTTAAGATCATCAAAGATATTCCTTTCGAAAACAGAAAAACCTTGTATTTCTTGTACTTCCTAACATTGAATATCTACAAAATTTTCTTATTGTCAACGTATCGAATAAACGAATATATCTGAATTTTTCAGAAACTGGATCGTTTTTTCCGCTTAAATACTGCATGGATACCAGATGTTAGGTTTTAATTCTAGACTATGCTTGTGATTAACTGGATGGAACTTAAATTCAAATCATCATTTAATCAAAATGCTCTAAACAAACAATGTAATGAAATCATGATAGAAAGTTACTTACTCCCATGATTCTATGACTAAGATGACCGCCCTGTAATTCGATTCCCTGAAGTTGATTACATCTAAAATGTCTTCTTGCTTCTCTCTTTAATGAATAGAAAAAAACAATATAAAGAGACATTAGCTAAATTTATTGGTACTACTATAACAAACATCAAATTGGTACAAGTATTTCTAAACAATTGTCTACACAATATGCTCAATGAGTGTTGATCAGATACCATAAGCAATAACCTATTGTGGGAGAGAACAAACCAGCTTACAAATGAAGAGTAAATAAGGAGAAGACGTTGGATTTGGATAGAACATATGTTAAGGAGATCGCCAAACTGCATCATGAGACAATCCCTAACTTGGAATTCGAAAGGGAACTGGAAAAGAGGAAGGCCAAATAACACATTACGCCGGGAAATAGAAGCAGATATGAAAAGGATGAATAACAAGTGGAAAGAACTGGAAAGGAAGTCCTAGGACAGAGTTGGATGGGAAATGCTGGTGAGCGGCCTATGCTTTTCGACGAGGATCAACAGGCGTAAGTAAGTAAGTAAGTAAGCATATAAACTTAGAACATTGAAAAGCAATTCCACGTAATTTTATGAACGAGTTAGAGGTATTCGACTAGATTGTTTGTAGGATTTTTCAACAAAAATACGATGTTTTTTATATTAACTTACGCCTGTCACTACTCATGGAGGAATATAGGACGCCCATCAGCATTCTATATCCAACTCTGTACGGAACAATACTTTCCACATATTTACGCTAGCTATTCATCTTTCAATATCTATTTCCTGTCCCAGAAACAGTGTGTTTGTTGGCCTTCCATTTTTCAGTTTCCATTCATGATTCCAAGTTGATGATTACTTCGTGATGCAGTTTGATGATTTCCTCAATATATGTCTTATCCACATCCAACATCCTTTCCTTATTTCCTCTTCATTTGTAAGCTGGTTTGTTTTCTTCCACAATAGGTTGTTGCTTATGGTATCTGATCAACACTCATTGAGTATATTGTGTAGACAATTGTTTAGAAATACATGTACTAATTTGGATAATTGTTTTAGTAGTTCTCGAGGTTTCAGTTCCATACAATTGGACAGTTTTGACGTTCGTATTGAATATTGTGACTTTGATTTTGGTTTGGAGACAGTTGCATATATTCTTGAATTGTAGGAATGCTGTCCTTGCTTTGCCAATCCTCATCATTCGGTGTGTATCGGATCACCATTTTTCATCGACGGTGGTGTGTAGATACGTGAAATGTTTCACATGTTCTAGAGCATGTTCAGTGAGTGAGATTGTGTTTGTTGGTGTTGTATTTGAGGATGTTGCTTTTCTTTTGTGTATAGTAAGGCTGCTTCTTTGGACATTATTGGAGCAACCCCCTGATTATATGGAGCATTTTCCTCTTAATGACCAAAGTACAGCAGCATCTCTCGCGTACTTAACCTTTGCTATCCAGCTTAGTATCGATTTTCTACAAACTACTGATACTGTGGTGTATGCTACTTCTGTTGATAGACATGACTTATGTGTAACGCCAGTCGTAAGTGGAAATTCTGCTAGCAGAATACTAAGAGGTTTAGAGTTGAGGGGAATAGAAATGAAAGTAGAATGGGACTTTTAATGATTTATTACTTAATTAATATCCTCTACTTAAAATATACAGTTTCGAAATGAAGAGAAACTATTGCAGTAAAGTACATAGGATCAAACTTAAAGGCATTGGAATTGTTACATAATGTTGGTTTTTATCTAGTGTTAATGTTCAAGGTCCCCGTTTCGTCCCATTCAGGACTCATCAATTGATTGTACATTCATTCCAGTGTTTATTTTCCCACTGTAAATCAAAATCAGTACCTATCGCCCAAACATTAAAATGTTATCCGCTGAGCTAGATTTGATTCCAGATATCTAGCGGACGATACATGAGTTTCGAAAGCCACTAACAGACAGTAGTCAATTATTCTTTTACTTGTGATACGATGATAATACCGCATAAGCCATTTAAGATGCATATATTCCAAAAAGGATAACTCAACTGCAATCTTAAATATTAATAACATTATTATACGAAACTTTACAATTTAGAATAAACTTTTTTTAGAGTTCGTATCGGGAAATGATTTTAATTAGACAATTTCTGAATTATCAGAAGGGGTTTTATGGAGATTTAGTATGTTTCATAGTTGAAAGCATGAGTCAATTGAAGCTAGACCACCATGGAAAACGTGGAAACACTGGATGGCTATTTCGTCCTATTATAAGACTCCTCAGCAGTGTGTATCCACGAACCTGCACTCGCGAATGAATGCCTGGAGCCATTGTGCTGGGGTTTCTCCCTTCTATGGAATGCCTCAAGATCATGTCAGATCAAGTGAGTTCAACAAATCTTTCTAATTAACCAAACAAATGAAAAACACTATTATTCTAAAATGTATTTTAAAAACAATATATGGTTTGAAATTACAACGCTTGTTATTATTATGGTTAGTAATTCGTTTCATCTATCTCCATAACTGTTGTATTCTAACTTAAAAATTAAAGTCTCAACATATTAAAATAGAGTAATGATATAACTCACAAGCATATTTGGTAGTCTAAGTACTTGTTTAGTAATTCGAAATTCACCAACAGCTGATAACCATCTCAACGTTACGTTCTGTACAGGTCTTAAGCTTGTAAAAAAAACAAATAATAAATTTGATTTTACATTCTAGCCTTCCATTTGCATTGCCAAAGTAAACTTACACAAAGCAACACATTCTTTTACTTAATTCAAAGTTTGTAAAATACTAACATTTAGTTTTAACCCTAATTTATTCAGTAAACCATAAGCTTTCGTTTGATGTATGATTCACTGCCATAGTCTTTTCTGTTTTAATGCCATTGTAATCTAAACGCAACCTTTAGTATTGTAAGCAAAGATGGATAGAGGCTAGCAATGGAATCCAGTTTGACGCCCGTTTCCTTTTATTTGTGACTTATCAACAGTATGTACCTGCATCTCAGAGTTGATGTTCACTCTGGGAATTGAACTCAGTATCTTTCGGACAAGCAAGTGGCTATCAGGACTCAGTGGCCGAGGGGATAACGCGATTCATTTGAAGCGAAAGGTACTGGGTTCGAGTCACAGAGTGAACATCAATTCTGAGATGCAGGTATATCCAGCTGACGAGTCCCAGGTTGGACGAAACGCGCTTCAAACTGCATTCCACTGCTAGCCATTATCCATCTTTGCTTACCATGCTTGTGAATTAAGGCTGTCTTAAACATCAATGGGAAGATTCAAACAAACAATACTAAATGAATGTAACCTTTAGTACTCTATTTTCTTAAACTAATCCCCAGTGTCGGACATTATTGTAATTTTATGGTCGAAATCACGAGTCAATTGAAGCTAGACCATCATGGAAAACCTGGAAGCAATGGACGGCCAACTCGTCCTATTGTGAGGCTCCTCAGCAGTGTGCATCCACGGTCCTTCCTCGCGAGATTAAAACCCATGATTTATCAGTCTCGGGCTCAAGCGCTTAACCACTAGACAACTGAACCGGCAATCAGACAAGTTTTTTCTGGACTCGCGCTTCCATCCAATATCCAGTACGAAGCAGCACACTGAATATAGATCTGGACACGGATTTATTATTGTTCAGCTTATGCAGCTTCAGAATTTGATGAGTTGTTTCAACGAAATTCGTATTGCTTTGATCCAGAATCATCACTGCGGGTCGAAAAGCATTTGACCATTTGTACTTACTAGACAATAAGTGATCTCTCACATATCAATCAAAATTCCCGTCTGCTGCTTCAACTAATGATAGATAGCTTTGGAAACTACAAAAGACTGTAATGAATATTTTTTATTTACCTTTCCACATTTCTTTTATAAATTTTAATGGTACTCTTTAACGCTTCAAGTGATGGGAACGCTACCAGATACAATGTATTCGAAAATACAGTATCCTTTCCTGTGACGACATAAGGATCAACTGACCTTGTACTTTGTACGTTATTATCTCTATCGACAAGTGTAGACCTTTTATACAAATTTTAAGAAATAAATAACCAATTATTATAAAAAGGGGGGTGAAATAGGGGGGGAGGTTAAAGACAATTTATTAGAAAAAAAAATACAAAAATCGCCGTAATGCTATTTGGAAAAATATATCTCCCCCCCCCAAAAAAAATCAAAATCATCAAACAATCGATAAATAAAACCAAAATATCTTACTTGCCATTAGGCATTCGATATTGTGGACTTAAATCTGGTAATCTAGCATAAATAGTAGGAACAAATCCCTTACAAAAAATAAAAAAAATAAAATAAAGAGATAGTCAAAACAATTTGGTAGCTAAGACTGATAATTTGGGTGAAGTTGTATTCTATGATCTGGGTAGTTTATTCATGAAGCTATTCAAAATTCTCTGTATATGACTAAAATTTGCAATAATAATGTTGTCTTCAAAAAGAAACTGAATGCTTTATGAAAAAAACTAACCAGCTCAGAGAGTCCAATTTCACCAAAAACTTAGTTAAATACACATCGATGTGAAGATTCAAGCAAACAATACTAAAGGTATCATTACCAAGTTTTGAATTGATAATTTTGAATAAATTGAGTATTGAGTAAATTGTTTTAAATAAATGATATATTTAGCAATATCCCAATGAGTAGAAAAATTAGATATTTTCTGACGTTTCGTGACTCAGTGTAAGCCACTTCTTCAGAGAATAAATAACCAAATTAACATTAATCCAAGTTAAAATAGTACAACGGAACAATCAAAGAATATGGATTGGTACTGCAGTATTACCATACCGTCATGGCACAACTGAAGAACTCCAAAGAATCTTAAGACAACATAGAATTAAAGCATATTACAAAACAACTAACACACTTCGAAATACTTTAGTTCGATTAAAAGAAAAAATACCATTCATATCTACACAGAACTGCGTCTACAAATTAGGTTGTATCCATTGTGATGCCTTCTATATTGGAGAGTCATCTCGCGAAATCTTAACTCGCGCCAAAGAACATATCAGGTACACAAAGAAACCGCCTAATAATCCTGTAGAATTAGATAGACTTCAGATTAAATCGGCAATAGCAGTTCACGCCATTTTCAACAGTCATCAAATTGATTTCAAAAATATCAAAATACTACAGAAAGGTTTTTCTAACTACAAAGAAAGAAGAGTAGCTGAAGCTTTCCATATAATGCTTAATCCCACAGCTCTCAATAGAAAGGAAGGCTTTACCATACAGCCTACTTGGACCATCTATCCTAGTCACTCAGTCTGATATTATTTACAATTTCACACCATTACATTACAAATCAAACTCTATCCTTTGTAATTATAAAGGTCACACAGCTTTCATTATTAACAGTGCATACATACACACAAAATTACATCCATGTCGCTTATGAATCACCTTGACCGCAATGAAATGATGTGACAGTGGTTTATTCAGACCTGTTTTTGATTGATCACCTAATATTCTTTGATTGTTCCGTTGTACTATTTAAACTTGGATTAATGTTAATTTGGTTATTTATTCTCTGAAGAAGTGGCTTACACTGAGTCACGAAACGTCAGAAAATATCTAATTTTTCTACTCATTGGGATATTACAAATATATAATTTATTTAAAATAATACTAAATTTATTTAAACTTCACCCCATCGCACAAGCAAGTGCTTATCAGGACTAGTTGTGGCGTGGAGTGTCAATGGACTCATACTCGGGACTCATCAGCTGCATGTACCTGTATCTCAGAGTTGATATTCACTCCGGGACTCGAACGCAGTACCCTTCACTTCAAACGCCATCGTGTTATCGACTCAGCTACTGAGTCGTAAATACACACTACTGAATAGTCTCAGACTAAGACGAAACAACCTCAAGTTTCAATGGTGATCTAAATTAAATCGGTTTTTTAATTTTAATCGAATCGTTTTACTTGATTCTGACAAGTATGATATGGATCAGAAGGGGGTTTTGTAGAGAATCGAGTAACTTTTCTATAGTTGAGATCATGTGTCAATTGAAGCTACACCATCATGGAAAACCAAGAAGCACTGGACGGCCGTTTCGTCCTATTATGAAACTACTCAACAGTGCTCATCCACGATCCCACACTCGCGAGATTCGAATGTACACCTGGCTAAAATATGATAATAAAATCTTTTTTTTGAATTCATCTCGAATAAAGTAAACATACTGAGGAAAGCAATATAATCCATAATCATAATACTTGTATACTATACAAAAATATATAATCTCAATATGAATTTCTTAACATATTATATTTATGGGACTCCTCAGTCGTCCAATGCTTCCAGGTTTTTCGATGGTGATCTAGCTTCAATTGACTAATGATTTCAACTTTGAAATCTACTGATATCTCCACAAATCCTCTTCTGAATATTAAAATTTAAAAGAGATTTTAAAACATGAGCTTACCAATGCATGACATAATTCATGTTTTGTAGTTCCTTCTAGGAAATCATCATTTGTACGGGCAATACGTTCAGCTGATATACAATAATTTATTATACCTAAGATAGGCCTAAGTAATATGCGTTTAAAATAAATATATTATCTATTATTTCAATATATTCCAAGGATAAAATTTATCTTGTTTAAAATAACATAATAAATATACTAATAAGTAGAAAAATTAGATTTTCTGATGTTTCGTAAATCAGTGTAAGCCACTTCGTCAGAGATTTATTCTCTGATTTAGGTATTTCATCAGTATGGTCAAGTGTTTTGCTGATCAGTTCACTATGATTTATTGAAACCTGTCATAGAACTGATCTTTATTGTCATCGTTGCTATCATTGATGTGAGCATAACATTGGATAATATTCATTATGATTCCCTCCTTGTTTATCTTCAATAATGATTTGATGATTCTGGATGCAAGAAATTCTTATCTCACATTGTTTGGAAATTCCATGTACCTATATTAATTGTTGCTGTGGTTGTCAGAGATGGCATCAGCTTCCTGACCTCAAAAGAATTTCGGCTTTCATCATGAGGTGTCATAATTCTTCTGTATGAAGACCCTTCATCTCCCAGGACTGATTTTACATTAATTTATTTTTTTATTCCATTTTGTGTCTTCTTGGCAAGAAATTTTTACGGGTTTTGGTTGCCCACCTCATACCCAACCCTCCTCCTTTTTGTAAGCTTATGACCGGGAGTAGTCCTAGAAGAGATACACGCGAAGTTTCTCATTCTCTACATTTATATACATTAACTAAAGTACTTTGTCAATGCTATCATTTTTTAATAATTTCTTTTTACATGAATTTCTGTTACCATTGTGTTTCTTTCAAGACTTCTATACTTATTTTTTATTTCCACCAACAGAACACAATTGAGAGTGCTTTCAGTTATTGGGAGAGAACATTGGTTGTTAATGTAACTAAACAAGAAATGTTACTCATTCGTAGGTAAATTATGAATTATATGAATTCTTTTCTGTCGTGCTCTGGTTTAATGAATTTCACTGATTTCGAGGACCTTCAAGTTGTATCTCCTCATTTCTGTCGTTATTTAACTGGTACTCCTGGTCTCCCATATTTTCCGGACATACCATGTACCTATATTAATTGTTAGTGTGGTTGACAGAGATGACATCGGTCTTGTGACTTCCTAGGAATCTCGGCTTTTATCATGAGGCATCATAATTCTTCCTTCAACTAGAAGGACGGAGTTTAAATAGTTCATTTTGTTTATTCTGGTTAGTACTTTTTTAGCAAGGTTTTTTTCTACGGGGTGATTTTGCCGACTCCATTCCTAACCATGCTCCTTTTTTTGAGCTTGGGACCGGCAGTAACTCTAAAAGAGTTACAGTCGGAGTTAACATATTACATAGTTGTATAGTAATTAGAGTTGAAATGTTCACATCACTGTGTGTTTGTCCCGCTGATGCACATAAGTAGTACGCACAAAAAAAAACATTCACAGATTCAAACAACAGAACAAATGAAAATATTTTACCTTGAAGTTTGTGGATCTCGACTACAGTGTGAAGCCCAGGCTAGTACACCTTCACCACATGAAAAATTGTAATTGCTCACAAGTAATACATATTCATTCGGAGCTATTCCTCTTCCTTCAGAATGAATCAATTTACTCTTTGCATATTTTCTATTGTAACATGCCTAGACATATTAAAATATGACGAAAGTGTTTGTATAACGTAAAATTAAATACATAACCAAAAATATTCAGAATTACTCAGTAGAAACTATTCATTTGGCAAGATACTTTAGTCTGGTATGTGCTCAAAGGAAAGATATTTAATTATGGACAAATAGACGAATAAAATTACTTAAAACTAGATGATACTAAACATCCTCTCTGTTTATGCGTTAAAATATTCTTAATTTAACTCTCACTATTACAGACAGGATCAAGGTTTAGACTAAACTATCTCGTCAGGCGAGGTCGTGGATGCGCACTGCTGAGTAGTCTCACAGTAGGAGTCAGTGTTCACAGATCAGTGTTAGAACTTTATTGAAAATCTGGAAATACTGGAAAGCCTTTTTGTTCTAGTACAGTATTCTTAGCAGAGCATATCCACCATCTTCTTCCTAAAATAATGCGATTTATAATGTTGGGTTTGTACATATATTTTGTGTTTGTTTTGTATTACACCTATTTTTCTTCATTACGTTTATTATTCAATGAATAGAATGTGGTGAATTATCTTCGAGACAATTTCTAAGGTTACGTATTATCAATCGTCCTAATAACCATTATCAAATTAATCCAAACGGTGTATACATTTCATGACACAATACAAAGCAACAAGCGCACAATGCAAAATTGAACAGAAGTGTGAAAACTGGCGAGCTAGCAAGTACAGAGATGAAGCAATAGTCAACTAAATTGATATGATTCAAGCCTATAAATACATTAAAGCGAATGATTCATTCAACGATTTGAGCAACTAGTATTTAAGCTAGTAAAAGGGCTACGTGTATAGGTTGTAACACGTACTTGAGCATATGTGATGATGACGTTATGATACAAAGATGTATACAAATTAACTCTTTAAGGGTGTGAAATTGTGCTTTTTTATAGTCTTGTCTTCCGCACCTTCAGATTCATCGAAACATAGCTCTTATTTAGTTGAGTTACGCAGTAAACTACGTTTCCCTTTAATACAAGCATAAGGTGTATAGTTTAAGCCAACAGTTATTCAAAGATTTATTGAAGCATTTATACAAGTGATTGATGAAAATCAACCGGTAAACCTACCATCTGGCTATGAGATGGGACAATGCATTGGATGTATGGTACAACAAGTTAATGTCACTTTAAATCGTCAGTGTGAATGTTCACTCACCACTTCGTGGATCAGTTGAAGTTAGACATTAACACCGTTGGATGCCGGCCAGCTCAGTGGTTTATCAGTTAAGTGCTCTGGAGCGAAACTGGTAGGTCCTGGGTTGGAATCTCGCGGGTGGGGGATCGTGGTTGCGCACTAGTGAGGAGTCCCATAATAGGACGAGTTGGCCGTCCAGTGCTTCCAGGTTTTCCATGGTGGTCTAGCTTCAATTGACTCACGCTATCAATATGAAAATTCTAAATCTCCACAAAATCCCTTCATCCACTAATTGTCTTCAGTGAGTTGATATCTCACAACAGACGTGGATGAACTCCATTGGTCACTGCTTCCCATTAGAACTTCAGGAAATATCTCTTGAAGTTATAATTATAATCAGAAGGGGTTTTGTGGAGATTTCAGTATTTTCACTTAATTCGATACCTTTCCATAAACAATTTCTTTCATCTTCAAGTATTTATTGACTAGTTAATACTCACTTATTTATTAAGGATACCAGATGAAGAAATTGCCCACTCTGAAATGATGGTAAGAAGTCATAACTAAAATTGTGAATGAGCAATGATGGATAGTGGCTAGTAGTGGAATCGAGGACCCGCTTTTCGTCGCAAATGTCAACAAGAGACTGATCAGTTGCAGTCCTACTTTAACCATGGGAAGAAACAAGTAAACAACAGCAAATGAATTTTAAAAATGTCCAACTTCAAACAATACACGAAATGGAGCAACCGTTTATCATTGTCTTCAGTGAGTTACTATCTCACAATAGACCTGATTGAACTCCACTGGTCAAGGCTTCTCACTAGAACTCCAGGAAATATCGCTTGGAGTCAGTCACTAGTGAGCATATGATAGGTCCCGGGTTCGGATCCTGAGGGGCGGGATCGTGGATGCGCACTGCTGAGGAGTCCTACAATAGAACTAAAACGGCCGTCCAGTGTTTCCAGATTTTCTATGATGGATTATCTTAAATTGACTCATGATCTCAACTATTGATATCTGATTACTCGTTTCAATTTTGACAAATATCAGTTTAAACTAATTTTTTCAGCATAATATTTAGCAAAAAGAAAAAAAAAGATAATTAGGCTTTAAAAAAACTATCATATTATTTTCATAATTGAAAGCGTGAGTCAATTGAAGCTAGACTATTATCGAAAACCTGGAAGCAATGGACGGCTGTCTCGTCTTATTATGGGACTACTCAGCAGTGCGCATCCACGATCCCTAACTCACGAGATTCGAACCCAGGATCTACCAGTCTCGAGCCAGAGCACTTAACCTCTAGACTACTGAGCTGACCAACATCCAACTGTGTTAATGTCTAACTTCAACTGATCTACAAAGTTGATCGACACATTCAATATTGTCTTCAGTGATTTACTATCTCACAACAAACCAGGTTGAACTCCATTGGTCGTTGCTAAGATAACAATTGAACATCTAGTATAATCAAAGCATTATATATATAGAAGTATCATATTATCATTAGATAATTAGTGTCATATCATTATTCTATATTAATTCACTTACTGATAAATATTGATCAGGAATTGTTGCATTAAAACATGTTTCCATTTTACTACAATAATCTCTTCTACAATGTGGTCTATTTTCTAATTCAGTCTTTCTTACTGAACTAGTTTCACAAGTTCTAAAAGATAAATAATAAAATTAATTTTATTAAAAGTTAAACTATTTAAATTATTTGTGTGATTTCCTTAAATTCTATGTCCTATCCACTTCCAACAATTCTTCCTCATTTCTTCCTCTACTGGATGGAATCTAGTTTGTTTTCTCTCATAGTAGGTTGTTGCTGATAGTGTAAAACCAATGAATCAATATTATTTTGTGTAGACAATTGTTAATAAACACTTGTATCTTTTAGATGATGACTTTCGTAGTTCTCCAAGTTTCCGCCCCATTAAGTAAAACTGTTTTGATATTTGTGTTGAAAATTCTAATCTTGGTGTTGGTTGACGATTGTTTTGAGTTCTACATGTTCTTTAGTTGTAGATATGCTGTTCTTGCTTTGCCTATCCTCGCTCTTACATCTGCATCAGATCCACAGTGTTCATCAATGATGCTGCCTAGATATGTAAAAAGGTTTTTACATCCTCCAATGTTTCTCCACCAAGTGCATGTAAACATTAGGCTACATTAATATAATATGCATAATCGCTGTTCAATCATGAAGCATTTTCTTAACCATTGTGATATTTAGAAAAACTAGTGCTAAATATAAGACAATGAATATAGCTTACATGAACCAGAAACAATACACTTATTATATATCATAGATCAGAAGGTGTTTTGTGGAGAATTTAGTATTTTCACAGTTGAAATCATGAGTCAATTGAAGCTAGACCACCATCGAAAACCTAGAAGCACTGGACGACCGTTTCGTCCTACTATGGGACTCCTCAGCAGTGCGCTTCCACGATCCCGCACTCGCGAGATTCGAACCAAGGACCTACCAGTCTCGAGCCGGAGCCCTTAACCGATCGCTCAAAATCGTGGATTGGTTGAAGTTAGACATTAACACCTTTGGATGCCGGTCAGCTCAGTGTTCTATCGGTTAAGTGCTCTGGCGCGAGACTGGTAGGTCCTTGGTTCGAATCTCGTGAGTTAGGGATTGTGGTTGCGCACTGGTGCGGAGTCTCATAGTAGGACGAAAAGGACGCCCGGTGCTTCTAGGTTTTCGATGGTGGTCTACCTTCAATTGTTTCGTGATTTCAACCATATATATATATATATATATATATATATATATATATATATATTCACATTATTTTAAATTTATCTCAAACATTATCAACAATGTGTTTAGTTGCTATAATCCTAGAAATTAGTAATCAATCATTTGATCTACCCAACTATTAAGTAACTAAGACTATCAATATCGATAATATCAATTAAAAATTAAATGGTTTCTTCTTTTTTGTTTTAGTTTATCACTTTATGAAATATTATTCACCTTTGAATAAGTGCATTTTCAGGTATTTTCACATCAATAATTAATGCACTCTCCCAGTATCTAGAAGAAGCCTCAATTGCTTTCTATAGAAAGAAATAAAAAAATATATCATTTAGTTCATTTAGAAATATTAATGTAGAATAGTTACTTTGTGTTTATAAGAAATCAATATAATAACAATAATATTGATTAACCCAAAGTTAGACTATTATGGAAAACCTGGAAGTATTGGAAGGCCATTTCATCCTATTGTTGGACTCCTCAATTTCAATTGACTCATGATTTCAACTATATTAAATTATAGATCAGATGGGGTTTTGTGGAGAATTTAGTATTTTCACAGTTGAAATCATGAGTCAATTGAAGCTAGACCACCATCGAAAACCTGGAAGCACTGGACAGTCGTTTCGTACTATTATGGGACTCCTCAGCAGTGCTCATCAACGATCCCGCACCCGCGAGATTAACACCATTGGATGCCGGCTCAGTGGTCTATCGGTTAAGGGCTTCGGCTCGAGACTGGTAGGTCCTTGGTTCGAATCTCGTGAGTTAGGAATCGTGGATGCGCACTGCTGAGTAGTCCCATAATAAGACGAGATGGCCGTCCATTGCTTTCAGGTTTTCCATAGTGGTCTAGCTTCAATTGACTCATGATTTCAACTGTGAAGGTATATTAAATTACTCAAAATCTCCATAAAACCCCCCTTTTGATAAAATAGGTTGTTGTTTGAATTCACTTAGTATTGTTTGTTTGGATCTTCCCATCGATGTGTTTAGAACTGCAACTGGTCAGTCTCTGCTTAGGTTGTTGTTGTTTTTCTCCTTTTTCTTCATTTTGTGATGTGAGCTACTTATATTCACATAAGTAGTATAAAACGATAGTCAGAAACGAGTGACTGATATTTACAAAAGAAACAGTCAAGTTTGAGACAGTTGATTAATATTATTGCAAATGGAGCATTTACTGAATGATTCTTAGATGTTACTAAGGCGTTCTGTAATCTTAAGTCTAGATATATTCGATTGTCCCTACTAGGGAATACTATATTATTATCTTTAGACAAATTCCCTTGATTATTATTCAGTTTTTATTAATATGACCTTTATGTTTGTTGTTTTTCTTCATATCTTTCAATTGGACAATTTAAAGCAATTAGACCCTAATGATAAATATCGATAGCATAATAATAATAATAATAAGATTATCAAAACTATATGATGATATATTAGCCTGATACATTTCGAACAATCTGATCACACCTAATATACTTGTTAAGAACATTTATATATAAAAATAAAAGGTCACTTAGACTCTTTATAAGGGGTAAGAGGATGCAAGGATAATAGTAATAATAATAATAATAATAATAATAATAATAATAATAATGAACTTCACCCATTGCACAAGCCGGTGGCTATCAGAACTCAGTAGCTAAGTGGATAATGCAGTGGCATTTGAAGCGAAAGGTACTGGGTTCCAGTCTTAGAGTGAATATCAATTCTGATATGCAGGTACATTCGGCTGATGAGTCCCAAATAGGATGAAATACATGTCAAACTAGATTCCACTGCTATCCATTATCCATCTTTTCTTAATAATGATAATAATTTCGATAATGCAATGAGAAGACGCAGATTATCAGAACTATGTGATGATAATATTAGCGCAATACATTTTGAACAATCTGATCACATATATACTTGTTAAGAACATTTATATATGAAAATTAAAAGGACAACTAGATAGGTTAAAGGTAAGTTGTAACAAAGAAAGAAAAATAAATAAAGTTCACAATAAAATGTATCCTAATTTATATGGATTACCAAACATTCATTAGCCTAATACCCCTTACATCCAATGCTATCAATGTATCGGTCACGTACACACACAACCTTGCAAAATGATTTACTAAAGTAATAAACCTTATCCAACTCCGCCTGTAGCTCCTCTGGGGGTTACTGCCGGTCTCAAGGAGGGTTGGGCATGGGGTTAGCGACCCCATCCCGTAGAAAATCAACTCTCTAAAAAACGCTAACAAGTGAAGTGAAGTGAATAAACCTTATCTGAAATCAAGTTTGTAAGTATTCATTGATTGACTTATTTGGATTAATTAAATACTTAAAAGACATGAATATAAAAACAATGTGCTGCTTTACAAATGTACTTCATAGGAAAACTATTGATATTTTATGTGACTATATCTCATTGAATAACCTTCTATTACCATTTCCTGTTAAAACTCTTAAAGATTTTCATAGTTCAAATCATGAGTCAATTGAATCTAGACCACCATGAAAAACCTGAAAGCAATGGACGGCCAACTCGTCCTATTATGAGACTCCACAGCAGTGCGCATCCACAATCCCTCACTCACGAGATTCGAACCCAGGACCTACCAGTTTCGTGCCAGAGCACTTAACCGATAAACCACTGATTGGAAGAAATAGGGATTAATAATAATCAAAGTAATTATTCGAGAATCAAGTAGTTACTATTTTGCATAATATATAAAGGGAGAATAAAGAACTAACAAAATATTTTGACAAATGGTTAGTAATATAGTAGTTATGTAAGAATCAATAGATGAATGTAGAGAATAAGTAAAATACAAAAATGGAAGGAATACGAAAATTGTTTACTCAAGTTTTGCTACAGATCCACTATATCGATGGCCAGAGTAGCGAGAGCGGTTGTATAAACTTCTTTTGAATGCAAAGGTTTGGTATGTAAACATGGATTTAAATGTACAAAAGACGAATTCATAAACCATGCGACAAATTTGATGGAATATGATAGATGACCTTAAAAACTTTATTCAGTTCAACTTGATAACGTGTATCCACTAAGTGAGCGAGGATAGAACTCTTAATTACTTTTACTTGTCCTTCGCTCAACCATAGCTGATGGTGTTCTGTTATTCGTTAAAGCATGTGACAAATTGCGCACCCTTAATGATTTATTATTATTGTGTACTGGCAATGTAAAATTTACTATTGAGGATGAGCACTTTTGACAAATTGATGGCGTAGCTATGGGTAGCCCTTTAGGGCCGTTGCGGGCCGATGTGTTTATGGGGTATGTTGAAAATCTAGCTGAAGACTCAATTCAAAAGATGTGTCAGTATAAACGATAAGTTAATGACATCATAATTATAGGGAATAAAAGTGAAGATGTGAACCGCTTGTTAAAAGAACTCAATACATGTCAAAAGCATATTCCTTTTCTAGACATATTGATTAGTAGGAGAGATGAAGGTTCCATCTAACGTTCTGTATATAGAAAGCTGGCATGGACAGGGCAATATCTTAATTTCTATAGTCACTATCCAAATCATTACGAACGTGGATTAATAAAGGGCTTGTTCAATAGAATTAATCGTATTTGTACCACAGATACTATTGAAGTAGAGGCGAAGGTCTTAACTGATACGTTAATGAATAATGGTTATTCACTAAAGTTCATAAACCGCTGGAAGGGTTACAATACGATTCGACCTATGACGCTTCTGGCACCTAAAAAAGTGAGTTTACTTTATATTACTATATAGGGGCAACTCAAATAGTCTCATGTTGAAACGGATACTTAAATTAACCATCAACAGGACATTTTATGCAACCAAACTTATAATTATTGAAAAGTCAAGGTCTATGTGGCGGAACACATACCCAAATGGATATAGGAACAAATGAATTCCAATGGTCAAATAGGATCACAGGATAGACAGACATCTTCCTCCATTGCTAAACACTTGGTTGAGAGTGGTCATAAGGTTGACATCAAATCAGCATTTGTAGTGTTGTACAAAAGCCTTCACGGTTTATTGAAGCCTTGGCTATACGGAAATGAAACACCCATTATGTGTTCACGTAAAGATTCGTTCAAAAGAAAATATTTGGTTGCTTTATAACGCAGTGTTTCCAATTCTAGAAACGTACTTCAATTCACAATCAAAAATGCACAATCTCAGTCAATGCAAGCAACATAATCAAAGGGGGTACAAATCAGTATGACTGCTGCCAAACTAAGTATCAAAATTAGGGTGTGTGAACATGTACTGAAATGGTTGCAGATACAAATAGAATCAAATGACCCAATAAGAGTAAAGGATAAACATCCATCATCCTCTATCGCTAAACACATAGTTTAAGCAGGTCATAAGATCAAATTCACTTGGTATTGTTTGATCGAATCTTCCCATTGATGTTTAGGATTGCAATTGATCAGTCTCATATTAGCATATATGCATACTGTCCGTATGGCCTCGATATAGCATTAATTCATAAGATTGCTCTTAACTCAGCTCTTTTTGTGTTGCATAAAAGTGTAAAACGGTGTATACTAAGATGGATAGTGGCTAGCAGTGGAATCCAGGACGCGCGTTTCGTCCTATTTGGGACTCGTCAGCTGGATGTACCTGCATCTCAGAGTTGATGTTCACTCTGGGACTCGAACCCAGTACCCTCGCTTCAAAGCCATCGCGTGTATACTAAGGTTTATTGAAGCCTTAGCCATATGAAAATTCAACCCCTTTGTGTATTCAAAAGTAGTTTGTTCTCACCTTAAACCTAACCTGGTAATATTAGTTTATTATCCAGAGTGATGAGGTTTCAAATCGTTTTCATGTTGTTATTATTATTATATATCACCACATAGTTCTGATAATCTTCGTCTTCTTATTACACTATCGAAGTTTATTAGAGGAACTATCAGAACTCAGTGGCTGAGTGGATAACGCACGTGGATAGCGTACTGGGTTCGAGTCCCAGAGTGAACATCAAGAAGTCTGAGATACAGGTACATCCAGCTGACGAGTCCCAAATAGGACGAAACACCCGTCAAACTGGATTCCACTGCTAGCCACTATCCATCTCTACTTACCATATTTATTAACATTGAGACATATTGAAACTCACCTTGATTTTTGGAAACACATAACTCATTTGAACATTTTTATCATAAACTGGTATAATTTTCAAATGAAGTCGATTCGATGATCGTTTAACAATGTTTTCCGAGTAAACACTATCACTCTAAAACAATCCATTATTCATTATTCATATTAGATAACTTGCCAATTTTGAATTTTCAACAATTTGACAAGCATGTTCAGATTTCAATAATTTAAAGAGCCCAAGGCATATAAAAATAATGGTATAAAGTTTCATTATGAAAGTTTTTTTTTTGGAGATGGGTGTTATGTATATGTTAGTTACCAACACATTGTTTATATAATACTGAAAGAATGGTAAACCTTTTCCATTAAAGTATAGTATTCCATAAAAAAAACATTTCCCATGACCTGATTATATTTTATAGAAACAAATTATAAACTTAGAGAGAGTACTTATAAATGTAAATGATGTAAGTTAATATGATGTATATCTAAAAATACAATTTAATATCATGTTAATTATATGTTTAAGTGGTTATTATTGATGAGTATTTTCTTTCTTACCATAAAACTGGTGAAAGCTAGACCAGTATGGAAAACCTGGAAGCACTTGACGGCCGTTTCGTCGTATTATGGGACTCCTCACCAGTGCGCATCCACGATACCGCCTCGCGAGATTCGAACACATGATCTATCAGTCTCATGCCAGAGCATTTAACCAATAGACCACTGAGCTGGCCGGCATCCAACAGTGTTAATTTCTAATTTCAACCGATCCAAGAAATTTGAGCGACCGTTCACCAATTGTCTTCAGTGAGTTGTTATCTCACAACAGATGTGGATGAACTCCACTGGTCAATGCTTCCCACTAGAACTCCAGGAAATATCTCTTGAAATCAGTCACTAGTAAGCATATGGTTATAGATCAGAAGGGGCTTGGTGAAACTTATTAAGAAAAATGACTAGAGTCAGTTTTTACGATGAGCGTCTGAAGTCGCTCCGTTTCCCTTGTCGTCTCTGTAAAATCGTCAACTTCATGTTAACTTTTACCTTTTACTAAAGGTACCAAAAATATCACCAAATCCTATAATTAATCAATGAAATCACTTATTACATTATTGAGAACTGAGACCAGGGTTTTTTGACGGTGTTAGTGAATAAAATATTGTATCTGGAATAAAAATCATCAACTTCATCCGGGATTTTCAAATCATCTTTGGCAAGAATTTCCACAGATTGTTATAGAAAACAGTTGAATGAGAGAAAATAGACAGTAATCAACTGTTGGTTTCAGATTGACTGATAGATAGACTAATAAATATGTGATCCTACTATTTGTGTCTACTTCATTATTAATTGATGCACGTACCTGCCATGGTAACTACACATTCTTGATTTCAGTTGTGTACCCTGGTTGGGTATCTAATATAAAGCAAATAAATTGTATCAGCAACAAATTATTCATTGTTCATCTGAGTTTTGTCCGAAGGAATTGAACATTATTTTAGTCGCGGCGATATTTTTAGAATGGACCTATTCTTATACGATTTATTATGGTGGATCATTTTATCAACAATGCCATTGATCTTAAATTATTATTCAAAAAGCCCCTATTGCACTAATGCCTTCAAAAACTCATATGTCCAATAGGAAATTGACTAAATTTATATTTGATTTAGAAGGTGGAATTATTTTTGCGGTGTGATTGAAGTACCATAAGGATCCGTTTATTGTTAATTGTAAATAGTGTGATGAACGATTAAAACTGGGGTGATTGCTACAAAAGCTCGAATTTTCTGAACATGAGAAGTTTTTTGTTACGTCCTTGATCTGTTTACCCACTTTAGTGCCGAGGATAACCTATCTAACGTAGATTAAGACCTTGACACGATAGGCTGACTGGCTTAACCTTGAGGCTAGTATGAGTGAGTTCGAAGTGGAGTGGGGAGACGAAAACCATGCTATCACCTGATCGGCTGACAGGCACGCGCGAGAGAAGACAAGACAGCTGGAACACTACTCGCTTTATTCCAAATTCCGATATGGTACCCGACTTCAGATTAGTGTAAAAAAAGATACATGAATAAATAGATGACTAACCTGACCAAAACGTACAACAATTAAGAAAATACAATTATGTCCAAAACTGGAGGATTAGAGTAGAAAATGGAGCTCGGATAGACGAAAAAGGTTTGGAATACTGTATGTTAAACAAAATTTGTAAAAAGAAACTCTAACAAAAACACCAGCCGAAAAAAATCATTATTATCATTTAAACTGTGCTTTTTTACGTAAAGGGTCTTCAGTTACAAGTGTACTGAAACCATTTGGTGAAACTCAAACGCAGTCAAAATTATGTACAAAACTCCCCATGAGGAAATGAAATTCAGAGAACAAATCAGTTACAACTAATTTATTATCAAGCTGTACAATCATACTTATGTGCATGGAATTTCAAGTACTAATGCTGTGATAAAGTATGAACATTGAATAAGTATGATAATGTGATAGAAAGACTGTAGTGACCTGCTCTTTTCGACAAGAACGCGATTGGTATAATAGAAACAATTATTATTATAACCAATTGTACAAACGATTGTTTTACTGTACTTGTTTAACTGTATCAAAGTCACTTCTCGTTCCACTATCAGTCTTGTCGGTTTGAACTTTCTTACGCTCCGCTCTTATTGCCTGTAATCTTTGGTACGTCTCGGTATTCATTCGATACCATGAGATTGCCAATAAATATATTCTATCTGGACCAGTTAAAGTCTTCTGCTTTCCGAGTTATCTAAGGGACCAAGTCGTTTTTGAGCGCGTAATCTCATTGTAGTGGTGATCATAGTCCATAAAGACTCGACACTATCTACAAGACTATGATACAGAGTTATGTTGTGTAAATAATGACAATCAACTTTGGTATAACTTCTACATGATGTTTGTAAATAAAATTGGTGTATAATTAGTAAGTCAGTTATGGATTTAGATATGAATGGAATGTGATAATGAGGCATTGGAAGAACTATAAGAAATGAAGCGATACCATTAGTAATTGAGTAAAATCACAGGTATGAGGGAGGTTTCCTGTTACTACCTCCAACCACCATCTTACCTCAATATATATAGTGCACGCAGTGTTGAGCCACCTAAACTAGTGGGCACATTGCAACTTGATCGATAGCATTCGATCAGCACTAAGAAGTACTTCACACGCATGAAATTGATCACCACTCAGTGATCAATCATCTAGGAGGTAAATAAAGCAAGGGGGACAATTCTGAATGTAACATTGAATAAATGAAATTGAAATATTAATAGTTTTACGTCCCAGTAAACACAAGGTTAAGATAGACTTCTTTTACATTCTAAGTTCGAGTTTCATTTCATGGATAGTAAGAGCTTCTGCTGTTTTAAAAGGCTGAATAAGTATTCTTCTCAGATCTGGATGATATCTATAAATAACCTTAAAAATCATTATGTGAAAAAAGAATGAATTTTTAAGGACAAAATTCTTAAACACTTTTCACTCAACTTCGCAGAAACAATATGGACTATATTCTCATATCCGTATTGAAAGCATTTACTAACTCTTGACAATACACATTTCTTTACAAGGAGACCAGATGAGAAGGCCTGTCGTCCACAGAGATAGAAAACACGTCATTGTTAAGGAGTATTAAATCAAGTTTTGCTGCCTAGGATTTCCTCTTAACTACTAGGGAGACCGACTTTTCAAAGAATCGACAGTTTGGTCATTTTCAAATATTGATTAATATAAGGACGTTTCCTTGGATCTTCCCATTCCAAACTTCTTTCATGTTCCCCCCCCCACTCAAAAGCTTATAAATGTTTTCAGTCCCATTTCTGATGAGAATAATTTCATCCTCAACCACCACGTATTCCTTGATACATAGAGTGAGGTCCCTCTTTCCGTAAAAGGGAACCCATATACATATATGAAGGACTCCCATTCTTGTGACCGTAGCAACTACTGCTATAGATTAATGTAATGTCCGGACAATGTGGAAGACCGAAAAGTCCGGTCAAATAGCTGCATAAATGAGTAGAAACAACCTAGTTATGCTTAGAAGAAGTGAAGCCCTTTGAGCGCACGTTGGATAACAAACATTAGATTCGGGAGATGTGTTGCTGTAATCCGACCACGAAAGAAAAGCCCCACACACAAGGAGTTGACCAGATGCTCCTCGAAGAACCGCGAATAGCCCTTATAGGATAGGGACCTCATGGAACCAGTATCATCAACACATCCTTCAAAATAAGGCAGGCGTTAAAATGAAGGTCACCCAGTGATATGAGGACACCAATGATGGCAACGAAGGCAATAAAGATCATTATTATGAGAGGCAGCAGCCAATTGCAGAGAAATTCCCAGGAAAGAATATGACCATCCTGATAGGAGACCTCACTTGGATACTAAATAAAGATCTCAGTAAGCGTGAGAACTGCAAAGACATCACACTACTATTTCTGTCAAGCAAGGTTGCAAACTAAGTGTCGCTGAACCGAACGAAAGAGTCAGTGGACTCCCAACATCGAGATGAACAAGCTAGATTTCGTGAAGACCGATCATTTCCCGACCAAATAGCGACACAATGAGTTATTATTGAACAATCAAATGAATGAAGCTAAACATTATACATCAACTCTCCTATCTACGTAATTTATTGTGGAAACTGAACTGGACATCAAAAGTACAACACAGCACTTGTTCTTTCAGGCGACTAGTCAGCAGCCCATCTATATTGATAGAAATAAGATAGTTTCATACATAACACATAGTTCTAGTGAATGATAAACTAGTGAATAGAGAACTAAGAACAAGCGAGAATGTGAGTTTTTCGGAAGTTTTAAAAGACAGATGAACTGAGAGACATCAACATAGAGCCTTATACAAATGTGCGTTAACCCGAACTGCCGTGTCTGATCAGATAGTGAGAGAGATCAAAGTAATGTAGTAGTAATCATAAGAAAGACAAAACCGCTAGAATATGGTTTGAAAAGATAGTGAGAAGTCCTCCATGAAGGTGG